TATTATAGTATAATTATAGGATTCTAAGCCGTACTTTTCCAGAACTGGGTTTAGTTTAGTTTAGTTTATTTGGTCGTCACATACACATTACATATATTTAATTTCCTGTGTTGTTTGAGTCTCTGGTCTGTTGTTGAGGAATACTTTTTTTATATGTAAAGTTCTCCTTGGACACGGTCATGACTTGAGATCAACTTTAATTCCTCAAAAAATAGATAAAAAACAGTTTTGTAGTGTTGGATGAATCTGAGCAATGATTGGTTGTATTCTCATTATAATGTGAGAAAGTAAGTAATTTATATAGCGCATTATACAGACCTATGTCACTCAAAGCGCTTTACAATATTCAGAAAATAGATATGTTTCCATTCACACACGGTGATGACGGAAGCGAGACGCCGAACACACTGGGCCGTCAAAGCCTCCGACCAAACACCATCCATTCGCTCATTACATTCATATCTAATGTACATGTTTTTTAATGGTAGGGGAAACCGGAGCACCTGGAGGAAACCGGAGCACCTGGAGGAAACCTGCGCAAGCACAGAACATGTAAACTCCACTCAGAAAGGCCCTGTTTCAAGTGGGATTTGAACGAGAAGGCTAACCACTCAGCCACCATGCTGCCCAAAAGTCTATATCTATCTATCTATCTATCTATCAGAAGCAAATGCTGCAGTTTTCACAACATCCCTGAACTGTTCAAAATGAGTGAACTGAGGAGACACTGGACCACAGCATTTTGTTTGGTTCCGTCTCATCTTTACAAATGACTTGGCCCAAAGTACACAAAGAGACGACTTCAGTTGGAAAACGTGTGAGCGCACCCTAAAGCTGTCTTTCTTTGGGAGCTGTCCGGTGCTGAAATGCATTGACGTTCACACAGAAGAGTAATGGGTGGATATGCACCGGCAGCTACAGTAGATTTACATAATTTGTCAATAGATTTTCATTATGGGACAAATTATAAATCGGTGTGCTCCTTCTCCGACCCAGCCTGTTGGGTAAACACAGTAATATTTGTTTTGAAGTGACTCTGATAGAAGCGTATATTATTCTTTTTGTGCCGTATACAATCCACAAAAACAACTGCATTTGGTTTTGCATACATTCACATTGTAATCATGCATGTCCATAAACATTATTCTCCTTTTAATGCGACTTTAAACAACACATCATTAGCTGGTGGGACACAACAAAGCTCTTTTTAGTCCTGCTTTTGAGATGAAAGGAAATATTATTATCTCCAAACGCTCAAAACACTGATGACCTCTGCTTATCTTTCACACATTCTCTATTTATTCTTCCGTCTGCTCGCCTTCCCCCATTCTGTGTACAAACATTATTATCCTCATATCTCTTTATATGTTAAACCCCTTTATTTGAATGAACCATATTTAAAAACCCTGTCGTTTTAAATGGCTCTTGAAAAACACTGGGATGGAAAGTCAACAAGGACCCGGTCTGCCTGTCTACATGCGGCCGTTCTATTATTATGGTAATGATGCATCGTCTCCACATGTCCCCGCAGATTGGCCGCGTCCGGATTCATTTCGCTGAGCTCAGCAGTGGGGCAGGTTTCAGGAACGAGGCGGCGAAAAGTGGACAATTTGAGCAGCGGCGGCGAATGAATGGCTACTTCCTGGTGTGTCATCGATCGAGCAATCATCTCCCACTGTCCGCTCGTCGTCAGATCACGGCTTTGACCTTGTGTTTGGAGCTACTCAGGCTTGTGTTGGATTAAATGTGTAAAAAATCCTGTTGCTTGTATTTCGCAGATGAAGTTTTGATTTTTAGGTTTTAAAATAGAAAAGCTGTATTGATGGGAGAGGGAGGTAGAGTGTGGGAGCAGTTTACAGATGCATTTGTTGACGCCTTGTCCAACATCAATAGAATAGCAGTGAAAATTATTTTTAATAATCATTATTTTAGTCAGAGAGTTGTCAATTTGCTAAAAGTAGATTAGAAAATGTAACAATTTGAACACATATGAAGTGCAACACTAAAACACCAAGAATCGGTCCATTAGCCGAAGGATAATGGTTTAACATGGATATACTGAACCAATTTTATTTTTTTGTGTAGCCCTAAATCAGTTCGTCTGAGAGGATTTGCAAAGTTGTCGATTCCTCAACAACAGATCAGAGAATCTAAATGTTCGACCATACGGGAAATGCATTACTGACAATCGGCAAGAAGCCATTGGTTCATATGAGAGAAGGATTATAATGTTCATAAATGTCTTGAAATGAATCATCACTGTCCTTTGACCCTGCTCCTGCTGCTTCGGCGAGAAAAACCCAGAGGGAGAAAGGAAAAAACTTTGGAGAGAAGTTCACGAAAACATGGATCAAAACTACTAGTTATTTTTAATTTAAGAATGATAATGCATAAATGAGTAATACATCTTTGTTTGTCCAGTCAGAACAGTGAGCTTAATAAACAATAAAAACAGTCATAATACAGGGTCAAAATCATGAGATAGAATAGAAGATTAAGGAAGACCAATCCAACAGAGGAAACACAAGAACTACAAAACAAAGTCAAAGCATAAATATATCAAAAATAATAAATACATGAGCAAAATATCACAACATAAAACCCACGTAGCTGCATATCCATTGACAACTGTATTCCTGTCAAAAGCTGACTAGAGATATATCCAAGTCTGAGGTTTCAATTATCGAGGTGACTCTAACTTTTGAACGTCCGTGTATAAGATAAGATATTGAGTGTTCTGTAAAGGGCGTCACGGCGGCTGAGTGGTTAGCTTTGTCGCTTTTGGGTTCGAATTCCAGTCGGAACAGGGACTTTCTGAGCAGAATTTGCATGTTTTCAATGGGTCTGCGTAGGTTTCCTCCGAGTGCTCCGGTTTCCTCCGAGTGCTCCGGTTTCCTCTGAGTGCTGCAGTTTCCTCTGAGTGCTGCAGTTTCCTCCGAGTGCTCCGGTTTCCTCCGAGTGCTCCGGTTTCCTCTGAGTGCTGCAGTTTCCTCCGAGTGCTCCGGTTTCCTCCGAGTGCTGCAGTTTCCTCCGTGTGCTCCGGTTTCACTAAAACATGTACAATAGGTCTGGCAGGCACCTCCTCCTATGTGACCATGGTCCGTGAAAGGCCATACATATATATAGATTACTTACTAAAGAATAGCATCTGACACATAGACCAATTTCTTTTTTTTTTAGGAGGAGGATAACTCAAAAGACAGAACCGTTTCTATTTTGGGCCATTTCTTTGAGTCGTTTACTCTTTTTAGTTTGTTTGAATCCTGCTGCGATTTTCCCGTCACTAATCACCAATTTCTGTCCACAGGTCTCCAACTTGAAAGATGAAAACTGAAACCTGAAAACTGCAGCATCATTTGTGAGAACTAAAAAAAAAAAAAACAGTGCCTCGAAGCAACAGCAAAGTGCAAGAGACCGAGAAAAACTCCTGTGCACTTAGGCAAACAGAAACACACTCAAAGATTTATCAACGAAGAGCAAAAATAGTCGAACTGCGAAGGCCTGGGTGAATGGGGCTTACATAAACAATCGCGTCACGGCATCATGACATCACTGACGCTGTCCTTATGAATGGACGATCGGTCACAAACGCTGCCGTTTCTCCTTCAGTCTCTCTCACGGACCGACAAAGAGGGAAAGCATCCTGACATCTGACAAAACCGATAGGGCACTGCCGAGTCCACACCGGGTCCTGCTGGCCTGGGACCGCATCTCATTTGCATAAAAGCTGCTCAGTGTGGAGGCATTGACCTGTGCTGCTTTGGACCGAGGGGGGAGTTTGTTGGTTTGATGGTCCACGGTGCGGCAAGACTGCACACGCACGCACGCACGCACGGACACACACACACTTACCCACACACAAAAGCCCGTGATGTACTGTGTAGGAAAGGGTTGAGGTGTAAAACTTTTTGTTGTTGTTATAGAAATCTGTGGAGAATGTATTTTGGATGTGAAATTTTAAATGTAATTCCTGTGATTTAGAAAAATACAAGGAGTAGCTAAGTAAACTCTAAGAATACATTAACTTGAACAGCACACACGTATCCCCAACATTTTAGGAGAGAGCCGCCCCCTCCACTTTTTGAACAAAATTCTGGTCTTATATGACGAGCACTATCACCAGAATGATTAACAAATATGAGGACCAATAGTCTTGATAATCCACCTGGAAGTAGAAAAGCCTCCTTTGAGTCCCAAAATGATAACATTTCTCCAACCATTGACGTGTTTTAGAATTACATTATCATTGTGTCAGACCTGATCATTGTCGGTTCCTGCCCTCTCCTTCATCCCAATGCACCTCGGCGGCTGCTGCAGTTTGGCACATGGGGATCCTAAAACCCTCCACATTAAAGTGAGTGCGAGCGCGCCCTCAAACCAAAGCCTTCGTCCAACTGTGCGTCGCTGGTCCCGCAAGACGCTGCTCTCTTTTTCTGATGAATAAACGCTGCTCTTCTTGCCCCCGCCTCTCTGCGCGCCGAGTGTGTGGCCTATAAAACCGCAACAGCTGATCTCCCGCGTCAGACAGACTCAGAGACACCAGGAGGAGAGCGGAGAGGCGCAGGACACACTGGGAAAGGCACCAGGACGCACGCTTACCACGTCTTCCTTCTGAGCACTATCTGTGACTGTGATGACACTTACTGTATTGACCTGATCCACGTCTTTTGGACTCCCCCTCGTTCGTGCGTGACCCAGTGTTTAACTTATTAATCTGAAAGTGAAAGCGTTACTTCGACTTGCTTCGGAATTTCGTATCGGGATTTCTCCGGGAGCTGTCCAGTGCTGAAAACGCGGACCTGTCCACTTTCCTGGATGTGCATGGGCATTACGTTTCCTCCAAGTTATTCTTAGCGATCATTTTAACTCTGGGACCTTCCTAGAAATGTCTCACTCTCTTTTTGCCTGTTTTAGAGGACTTTAGCAGTAGATCACAGACATTTCTTAACGTCAAAGCAGCGTGCCTGAATTGTGCGTGCGTCCACAGCCACTATCCCATCATGCCTCGGTCTTTCTTGGTCAAGAAAGTCAAGTTGGACGATTTCTCGGCGGCGGAACTCGAGAGCTCGTATGGACACAGTCGGAGAGAGGAGCTAAGCCTGCGCTTCCACCACCACGATAAAGGTTAGACAGCACCTGCCTGGCGCATGACAGCCGGAGGGAAAGTCTTTTATTCACGCATTTTACGCAGTTGGAGAGAGAAGAGGATTTGCAGGGTCAAATTGAGGGCACATATATAGCCTGACACGTTGCTATTTCTCCTTCTACAGATTATATCCGGTGAATATAGAACAGATTAGGCAGATCAAAGGAAATTGGAAATCCAGTCTCACTCATGAAGTACACTTACATTATACAGCGTTAGTTAGAACATGTTCCTTGTCTGTAAATGTTGTGAAATGAGTGTGTTTTCCAGTCAGTGTCAGGTTAGAGGTCAAACGTGTTTTATTTCTTAAAGGCAGAGTGGATTTGTGATGGCTCAGCAGTTCACCGCATCGATCTGTGACTGTAAGAGGAGGGGATGGGAATGATGACATATGAGAGGAGTTTTGAATGGAAGTACACCACATGCAGATGAGTGGCTAAAACACCTGGCCATGGATTCAAACAAAACTACTGAAAACATATACAGCATTCAGCAGCATGAAATACTCTGTGAGCGTAGATATAATGGGATAGGAGGGGTTTCTTAATGCAGGCACTTGACTGGAGTCATTGATTTGTAAAAGCATTTTGTAAAGTGCATTTTATGGCAGGAGGGACAAGCTACTTCACTGGTCAAGGAAACCCACAGAAAGAACCATAAACACATGGATCTATAATAATAACATATTTTTACCTCCCACAGCATGTGACGTAATTCAATGAAAAAGAAAAAAACGTGACCACTGAAAACATAAAAAATGCACTGTTTTTGTTCTTTGCTCATAATAAAAATACAATGCTAGAGTCACATCTGTTTCTATTAACATTGAAAAATACAGCAACATTTTAAAAGGAGTTAGATTACTTACTTACTCACTTAAATACAAGCCTAACCTCCACAAACGCCAGCATCAGTGACCTTTTTACGATTCACATCCACTAAAACTCATCATGTTTAAAGTGGTGAAAATCTGATCCATATTTAAACTCACACAGAACTCTTCCGTTTAGAGTCACGTCCATTACGTAATTTATGCGTATCGTTCACCGTCCAACCCCTTCAGATAAACACTTTCTGGATTGTAAATATTAGTATTGGCATCTCCCACTAATTCCATCATCATGCTGTTTGTTTGGCTCTATTTAGACACGGCGATGCCCTCTAGTGGCCATGGTGCGCACGTCTCCTCAATGTAAACACAACCTGGTGACGTTCACATTGTACCAAGGTCAAACGCATGAGGCAGAAAATCCCTTTGCTCCTCAACAACAAGCTGTAGGACCAACAAGAAGTGTGTGCGTACAGGATGGGCACGGAGGTTATACGCACAGATCTGTCCTTATGAATTTAACAGGAGAATAACAGGGGCGGCTTGTTGCACATTTACGCACACATACGCACACACTGAAATACACGTACGCACACACACGTACGCACACAACAGTAGAGACGCGCTTCTGTCAACTCGGCACATTTCCAGGCAGCTCTCTCCTCCACAGCCGAGTGCGCATCGAGCCACGTACGCACACACACTGGGTATATGACCTACAAGTGTCCATACATCATGCACTATTGTCAATTTCTACCTGTTTGAAAAGCGTTGTGTGTGTGGGGGGGAGAAAAAACACACAAAGGCGTTTTTCATTGGCTCAGTCGGTTGAGTTTGACCGTTTGGTGTAATTGTGTTGGATTTGCGTTTATTGGCGGTGCGTGCAGCGCTGGGGAAGGGTGTTTAAATGTTTAATAAGCATTTATAGGGGAGTTTACAGCCTCCTCGAGCACTTGTAAATGAATGGAGTTAGTGTTGGCAAAATGAGATAGGATGGAGCTGCCTGTTTAGAAAGACACAATTAAAAGAACAGCGTTTATGAGCCTTGATCTAATAATACGTTAATTATTTACTCATGCATACAATTCACTTATGCGTTAAAGACAGATGCACATATGATTTTGCTTTATTGAGTTTGTAGTCCTGGTTGGTCGGACTTTTCAGTGGGAGAAGTGAGTCTTCTTCGCTGCAGCTGGTGTTGGGTCTATGATGTGGAAGCTCCAGCTGTTGCGGACATTTAATCCATTTTGGCTTCTTGAAGAATGGCTTGTTTGGTCTCAGAAGCTTAAATAATCAAGGCAAGGCATTATCCTGCCAAACCGAGGGGCTCTTTGGGAGACCTCTGCAATCTGGGCCTCTGTAGTGTCTTCCTCCTTGAAACAGTTTCTCAATGTCCTCCAGGATAATGCAGTCAGGTTGTTTTTCTCTAACTTTCTCCAAAATGGGTGTTATCTCCACTAGGCCGTTCATCGGTTCCTCCAGTGGAGCAGTGGGATGTTCTGCTGGTGTTTTTCCATGAAGGTCGGTCCTGGTGTCTCTTTCCTCAGTGGATACAGACTCTTTTCAGGCTTTTCTGACTATATCTGTCACTATAATGCTGGTTTCCTTTTCTATCAGCCTCTCAATATGTTGCCCCAGCTCCTCATGGCCTGGTTCATCTGGAGAAATAGTATGTCATTGCTGAAAGCCAGGTCTAGATTGTTCTGACTTGCTGGGCCTTTGGGTGGTTGAGTATCTACCTCATCTGCACTGAAAAATAAGGTTGTTGTTTTTTAATCCATAGACAAACATCTCAATGGGAGATATAGTTTGGTTTGAGTCACAGCCATCAACAGATTCAGATGAAGAGAGTGGACTCCCAGTAAAAAACCTCCTCACTTTGCACCTTCATAAATTCAACTGTGTCTTGTTGCAGAGGCTTAAACTCCCAGAAATCTGCATGAACTCAAAGACCCTCGCTGTGCACTGGTCCCCTTCAGGTAAACGCTCCATAGTGGTACATGTGCTAAACAAGGGCTTCAGCAGGGGTAATTAGCTCCTCTGTTTCCATTTCAAACATTTTGATATAGACATAGATGCTTCCCTGTCCCCCTGTTTACAAATATAGGATCAAAATCACACCTGGACACTTGCATGCCCTTGTCTGTTGTCTCCATGAACTGCACGGTTTTGAGTCCCAATTGAAAGTTCCCGTAAACAAAGTGGACTTTGCTGCACAGTGCCTAGTTCAACAGATGCTCAGCTGGTGTCCCATGTACTGTCCGTGTAGTCCTCCCTGAGAGAAGTACAGCAGGAACCAGGCCAGGCCCCACGCCAGGCCCCACATGTCCACACCCTCTGACAAAGGGAGCCCCAGTATCACAGCTGGAGCTCAAAAGAAAATTGGCTGCATTGTCTTTCCAGTGATCAGTGGATCCCTGTGTTGGGGCAACACTAGCCCAGCCCTAGCCATTTGTAAATTATAATTTCCCTACATGTGAAGTAGAGGAAGCTCTTCAATCCTTTCTGGTTCAAGAAAATTAAGCTGGAGCAAGAGGAATGTTCGTTTGTGGCAAAAGAGAGTTAGGCTAAATCCTAAAGCTAGGCTAAATGCGAAATGCCTCTCTCACTCGCATTACAAACGTCACAGTAAACTCAGAGCCAAACGTTTCAATCTACAAAAGGAGTTAACCCCTCCCACCTGTTAACAGAGCCCAATGGTAAAAATGTAGTAAGTACGAAATCAAATGAGTACAATGGTATGGTAAGACCAGGCTAGGGCAAGACCAAAATCAATAAACTTTACTTTATAGGGCTTCTGTCCATGATCTACCAGCATAATATTGTCTGGTTTCTTGTCTGTGTGGACCTTCTTAGTCCATTTGGAGCCATTGGCAGCTGCTTTACCTTCAGATGTATTTACAACTGGGAAAAGTGAAAGATCAAGGGCACGAGTTCAGCGTCTCAAACACCTTGGACTGACTGTTGTAATTGTAGGCGTCATTCAGTCATACAAAGCTGCAGACGTGTCGGTCCGTCTTTGTGTAAAAATTATGAGATGCATTTCTGACGTATTTCAGTTTGCAGGTCACGACTGAGCAGATAGCGGCACTTTAAGGCAGCACCTCGTTACCTCCTTCTCCAACAATTTCCAACCATTCAAACTTGTTCTTGAAGCTGGTTTAATGGACGACATTTGCAGATTTCTCGTGTGCTCACGATAATCGTTCACGACTCAAACTGATGTGTGCGTCCCCCGTGCTAGTCCTGTCCACGAGGGTCTGACTGCTGCAGTTTTAAACAGAAACTTGCTGCTACAGATATGACATCATGCAAATGTGTGACTATGCAAATATAATCATGAGAAAATATAAAGCAAGAAGCAAGATGTATTTAAAGTACTGTAATGCATTGTGGTGTAATATGAATATGTGAAATTGTTTTATTTATTTATTTAAATATGGACGTAACTATAGCATTGGACAAACAAGATGCATTAAGTGTTAAAGCACAGAAGCTCATTTTCAACACTTGTCCACAGGAGGCATTGACACAAACATCTCTGTCTGGATCTTAACCACTGTTTTAGCTCTCTGCTGAAGAAAGTCTGCTTTTGACCCAGTCCTGTTCAATTCTACAAGTCATAACACTATATAAACTGTAAACACCATACATTACACAACTCAACTACTGAATGAATAACAACTGTGGCCTTTTTACATAATATGATACAGTTATTATAAGTTCATCCACTGGCGGCCATCTTGCCTTTTCTGGCTTCTGTTGTCCTGCTGTTCCAGAATCATTGTACTGTATAGAATTCAACTTATCTCTAAAGACAAGCTGGTGATGTCGTGTTTTTCAAGTGCTTTGGACACTAGTTTATAAGTAAAAACACATAAGTACCATGGAAACATATCGGAAAAGCTTACAAATGTCTCTTTACCAAGTAGTTTTGTGAAAAGCCAGATCTATTTTAGTGCCATACAGATAAAGTTCCACCCCCCCTTCTTGCGCAAATTCCTTCTCGTGTACTGCCATTAACAGAACATGTTGAAGATTGTAACTAGAAGAATACAGTATTTAGAAAACATTTCAAAACGGAGATATCTGTTTTTGCAAATGAACTCTTGTAATAGTAAGATAAATTGATTCAGAGCAACATTCCAGAAAGCACAACAGGCGACAAACATATAGTTGGGTTCTTATTAGTTGTTGACCCCCACAAACTTCAAACATGGCTGCTGCTGCTCGGAGAAAACAAACCGTGTTCATCTGTTTATTATTATTACAAAATGTGACAATGAAAGCCTGGCCTTTTCCAAACTCCACTCCTGGCCTTATTCAGTCCTTTATGCAAAACAACAATTGAATATTCATGGGTTTCTTCGCCTTGTTTTTCTCCCCACCTCCTCCGACTTCATTTCCGCTCTTCCTCCGTCCCCGCTCGCTTTAATTTAATTGCAAACATTAAATTAGCGCCAGCATCTTAGACACGTCGTCAAACTCGCCTAACCACAAACCCCCTGAACTTTACATAACATAACTTCTTCCTGCTTCTTCTCCCCGTCTGCTCCCTCCACGCCCTGCTCTCTCCTCCATGTCCTCAGCGCATTATCGACCAACTTTTCTCAGAACTGCGTCATGAAATGATATTAGAGGCAACAATATCTCCTGCTCTGGCTGTGTATAAATGCTAGGGGAGTGCTAATTGAAATGGAGAGGTATTGATCGCCATAGATCCACGAGGCAGCGTGTCTCCCCTCTATCTATTCTGCCTTTGTGTGTGCGCCTGTTGACTGTGGGAGGCCAATGAAACAATAACAAAGGAATCATAACATGGAAACTAATAATTGAGGGGAGAGATGAGAGAAAGAGGAGCCGCGTAAACAAAAAAGTTCAAGGCAATTATTATGGTGAAAAGGAAAGTTTATGAAATGAAATTGAAGTGGAATAGCGGGACAGTGTTTATGGCAGTTCAGTGAAGACCCGGTGTGAGATGGTTTTCCGACTGGCCTGGTCTTATCCATCCGTAAACTCCGGTCAATTATCATTTCCTACAGTACATACAGTATGTCTGGGTCTGATCCTAGTGGCTGCAGTTACATCAGTTGAATCCCATCTGACCAGCAGGTGAGAGCGGGAGGCGGGTGTTGTAGGTAGCTATCGGCGACGTCAAGAGTTTGCACCAAATGTTCTGGTTGTAGTTTGGCAGAGAATGTGATAGTAAAGTAATCTGTTCTGGTTCTATCAAGACATTTCATTCGAAGCAAAAGGAATGTTTAGCAAATGTCATTGATGCAAAGAGGTTGTGGCTCTACTCCCCGCGAGCTCAGTTAGTGATAAAGGAGATGGCTAAAGCTAGGCTAAATGCTAAGCTAGGCTAAATGCTAAATATCTTATTCACTCGAGCGCCTTATATATACATCACAGCAAACTCAGATCCAATCATCTCAATCTGCAAAAGGAGTTAACCCCCCTAACTGTTAACCGAGCTCAATGGAACAAATCCAAATAGTACGAAATTAAATGTGTACTATGGTGTGGTAAGACCAGGCTAGTTTCCGACCTGTCAGAGAAGGAAAAGACACGAGCTGAAAGGTAGAGGTTCCCTGCTGTGCCAACGTTTGCTGAGGTCCATTTAAAAACCACTTCTCCATTTTCCTTTGGTTGAGTTGGAGCTTCAGGGCGACACGAGGACCTAATCCTAAAATATATGAAAAGTGACAAGTTCACAAAAGTATGCGACTGGGAAACGTTTGCAAAAGAAGAGCAAGTAAAGAGCTGATATATAACGAAGGGAAAAAAGAGTTTCTCCAGTGTGAGCATGATTGTGATGTTGCAGATTTCTGATGCATTAGAAAATAACAAAATATTTAGATTTAGTTGATTCATAATCACAGAACAGATTCATACACCACACTTTACAATGACTGTGTTTACTGTCTAATCTCTCGGACTGATCTGACGTTTGGGTTTGCTCTCCAAGTGAAGGTCAGTTTTCATATTGAGAAGATGGAGAGATGTTTTTTTAATGGAAGTGTCAGTTAGACCCCGCCCTCACAGTTTCCTGATTGGACGCAATTAATTCTATTCTCTTTCAGCAAATCTTACAGGTCTGGCTTATTCCAAGGGCAGAGACTGTTTTGAATATATGTATGACGGAAAATACTGCATATAGATGATACTACAGAGCTCTATGTAAGCAAAAAAATATACATTATCTATTTAAAAAAAATGCAATTGAAGACACAGACATCCCCTTTAATATGGACAGAAGCTGACATTTTAATTGGTGCAATCGCTTCCACGTAAAGCACTACATTTGAGATTTCTCAGAACGTGTCAAATGTTAAAAATTGACTTTACATTCCACAGCGGCTGGAGAACGAGACAATTGGGCAGTGAGCACTTTGTTCAGTTGTTTGTCAGAGACTTCAGTGAGACAAATGCCAAGCTGCACCGGGCCGTGGAAATAAATCTATCCAAACATCTATAGAAAGAACTGTTTGATCATCTGTATACTTCCATTTCACCGAGCTCCTGACCTTTCGTTCCTCGTTCCCAGACAGTTTGACGAATCCATATCTGACCCTGTGCTCTTTTTCTCAGGCTATGGCTACCTCAGTCCATCCCACTACGACGATGTGGTGGTCAACGACGCCTCGGTCATCACCAAAGTCCCGTCTCCCGAACACCCATCCACGCTCATCTACGGCCGCATCGACGACTCTTACACAGCGGACATCCACGGGGACTCGGACCAACCGGACAGCCCCAGATCGGAAGCGTCCTCGTCTGCCGGTGGCTACATCAACGGAGACGCGGCGGTCAGCGAAGGTTACTCCGTCGACGCCTTTTTCATCATGGACGGCCGGTCGAGACGGAAATCGGAAGGCGGGAGAGGCGCGGCGCAACGGCACTCGTGTAGCGAATGCGGCAAGACGTACGCCACCTCGTCCAATCTCAGCCGGCACAAGCAGACGCACAGAAGCATTGACAGCAAAATGGCCAAGAAGTGCCCGACCTGCGGCAAAGTCTACGTGTCCATGCCGGCGATGGCCATGCATCTACTCACGCACGACTTGAAGCACAAATGCGACATCTGCGGGAAGGCGTTCAGTCGGCCGTGGTTGCTCCAGGGTCACATGAGGTCCCACACGGGGGAGAAGCCGTTCGGTTGCGCCCACTGCGGGAAAGCGTTCGCCGACAGATCGAACCTACGCGCGCACATGCAAACTCACTCGGCCTTCAAGCATTACAAGTGCAAAAGATGCGACAAGACGTTTGCGCTAAAAAGCTACCTGAACAAGCATTACGAATCAGCGTGTTTTAAAGGCGCCTTCTCTCCTGTTAGCACACTCAGTGAATGACCAAATCCAGTATTTCATTTGGGATGAAAACCCGTCTGCGGTCTGGCTCCGGTGAACAAAACACAGGAGCGTCGAGGATCGTGAAGCAACAGAAATATAAAAATAGATGAAAGATTTCTTCTGATCAACAGCTCCTTGGAAGCTCAGTGGAAACATCTGATGCCTGAATTAGATTGTCACCTGCTTTGCGATAAGATGCATCCCTTTTTTGGAGATAACAAAAGCACACATATCTTTTTTTTTTTTAAAGACACCCAGATCTATTTATGCCCACGTTTTTGACATTTCCTTTTGACCACAAGATAAACACTCAAAAGCACAAGTCCCCATACTCTGTCTTTTTGTGACAGGAAGATCGCAACTGTTCAAAGTATGAAAACCTGCAAAGAGATTGGATAAACTACGAGATCTTATCTTTTATACGGACAAATTCATAACGTCGAAAGAGACACATTGGAGTCGACAATTTGGACTCGAACACAATGTGAAACAAAGCACATATTTTTAGCTTCCTGCGTCTGCTGTTGTTATGAACACAACCAACTGTAGAGGCCGATGGGAATAGTGTCTAGCGTCCAGTTGTTCTCCCTGAATATCAGTCTTTCTCAAGTTATTATTAGGAATTTAACATGTCTCCACTAAAGGTCAAACCTCTGCAATTCCAGTTTATTTTACTTGCATTGAACTGTGCATAATGCTATTTCTGTATTTTTTTCTGTATTTATTTTTGCGTGTATTTAACTATTTATTATTAATTCATGTTTAATTTCCTTATTTTTGATATCTGATTTCAGCACCTTACTTTGTTTTTTTAATGATATTTGAATATGCCAAAGCATTGTCACTTTGCTATGACTAAAAAGCTAATTTAATTTAATAACTTATGTTTACTCGCCACTTTAAATCTACAAAACTACTGCATGCAAAAAAACGACAATAGCCTATAATGGAATCTATGCCAATTGTAAGGTACAGTCTCTAAGGGATGTTTTGCCAAATCCTCTCATACATAGGCAGATTAGAATATTTAAGCAAATTTTAGGGCAATATCTTTTCATTTACAATAAGAGCAATAATGCATGATATTTTTGGACAGTCGGAAAGGCTACAACTGCGGGTACCACTATTGTATTTAGTTTTGAGGATCTTCAGGGAGCAAAGACTAGCTTAAAGAGTGTTGATACTGGAGGGAGGGGGACAGTTGTGGCCACTCAAAGCTGTATTTTTATTTTCCTGTGTAAACTTTCTAAAGGTTTGGCTGTGGAGGTTGACTTTTCCACTCAAATGAGGGCTCTCTTTGGGGTCTGGGCGGGGCGACTTTTGTACATGGTTTATGCACTGCCTGCCTTGTATTATTATATGTAGAGAGTAGACGGTATTCCTTAGGCCTCTGGTGCTGAAACATGCAGAAAGACCAGGACAGTCGCTGTAATGTGTGTTTACTTTCCAAAATGCAGCAAGATGCAGTTTTTTGCAAGACTAATTACCCAAGAGTGTTCGTGATTAACAGCAAAATGACTCAGCTTTTCTGGTTTTATAATTACTGATCATGTTTTTCCTCCCAAAAAATGGTCATAAACTAAAAGTCGCTTCCACTATTCTTGTAAGCAATAAAAAATGTCATAATCAAACGTATCAACATTCTGGGGACATAAGGTGCTATTTCGGCTTTTCACCTTGGACCATTTTATCCCTTGTATTGAAAAACCTTTACCATAACTGCAATTTTATTTTCTGAATCAGTCAATATGCTGATGGATCGGCAGTTTAGACACGGTTTACGCAAAGGCAAAAACAACCCATGATTGCTAACTTGGACTGCAGTCTGAGCAAAGTCAGCCATTCCTTAGATGACCACATTTCCGCTGACGTTGGGTAAAGGGGCAGGTGCAAAGCGATACAGAGGGACTCAACACGAAACATCAACATTTCATTTGTTTTAGATCAATATTGGGACTTCTAAATATATTCTATCATTTACATCACCCAAAATTCAGAGAAATTAGTCAGAGGTCTCATTCTCTCTTCAGTTTGTGCTGTGTCAGGAGCTCTGGTGTGTACCGTCTCTGTCTGGTGCACACTGGGGTAGTCCTGCACAACTTTTCCAATGGGGTTTTGCTGCAAATTGCAAATAAATTCTTGAATCGTGAGTTTCTTGTCACTAGCAGACAGAAGCTTGTTACTGTATGTCCTCTTTAAAACAAATGTGTTCTTATCAAAGGTGAATGGGAGTGGCCAATGTCAAGGTTTTTTGCAATCACTGAGTTTTTTAACTTGTTTCTCTAATGTTGCGATGAAGGAGGGAGAATTGTGTCTTTTCAGCACCAGAGAGCACCACTGAACTCTTAGATTCTACTATGAACTACTGTAGCCTACTATAGCCACAAGCTAGTTTACTATTCTTATATAAAGCACTTCCTCTTGACAAGTATATCTAACTTTTTTCAAAGATCGTAGCACAATGACAGAGTTTAGATTCAGGTAGAAAATGCCTTGTACGTAGAACCTCTTTGCTCCTTTTTGTACGAACAATGAAACAAAGGCAAAAAAGATGCCATCCTCCACATGCTTTATGACGACGCAAAGCAGAGACTGAACAACAATGCTACAAATGTCATTGGCCGATGCTTGCGTGGGACCATCTTTACAAGCCTTTTTTTTTTTTTTAACGACTGAAAACTTTTTTGCGGCAAGAGGCCTTGTTCAAAAACTGCTGGTTCGATTTTGGATCATTTCTAACAAAGGTGTGGACTATTCTGACGGATTGGGACGAGATTTTGCGGGAGCTTCCTAATTTCAGTTCTTCCTCTTTTGAGTTTTTATTATTGGACCTCCAGTGATGGTTGGAAACAATGTAAAGCACAAACAAACACTGGGCATTTTATTCACTTATTAAATAAAAAAATCTAGTTTAAACAATGGTGTGGTGTTACAAGTGTACTGTGTATTCATCCCAAGACACGTTTTCTTTCATTTTCACATGGTCCATATGTATGAATAGATCCACTCTGTAGGAACATACAATATCACTCAAAAGTAAGTAATAATTTCTTTATGACCATACCTACTCAAACAATTCTGATGGGGGAGAATTTGGAAAACATTGTCATAGTGCCAAACTTTTCTTGTGTCCTTAGGCAAGACAGTTCACCCACATGGCCTATTGTGTGTGTGTGTGTGTGTGTGTGTGTGTGTGTGTGTGTGTGTGTGTGTGTGTGTGTGTGTGTGTGTGTGTGTGCCAAACGTATGCACATTTTGTCAGTAGCAACGGCCAAGTTACCAAGCACCAATCAGGAGCAATGCCGGTCTGTCCCCTCTCGCACTACTTTCTAGCCAAAGCCAAATATGGCAAGAAAAGGCCCCTGATTGGTCAGTTGTTAGGGCTCATATCTGGATTCACAAAGACAATATCATAATAGAAAGGCTAGGATCACAGAGATTGCTAAACCAAAGATTTTCAAATCCCAAAATGGTGAGTTTACTTTTCAATAGAAGTAGAAAAAACTTCCGCAGGAGGACGGCTGCTTTGTAAGTGTGAGCATAGCCTTGACCTTTCAGCGGGGGCTTTTTGGGCAAAGTGGGGTTAAGTGTCTTGCCCAAGGACACAACGACAGCAGCCATCAGTGGGTGTTGGTGGAGAAGATGTCGAGGTGGGAATTGAATCCACAACCTTCAGGCATAAAGGCCAATGCTCTACCAACTGAGCTAATGTCACTCTGTGTGAAGTGTATGAGTTTATAATTATTAGTACATTGTATGTTTGAGGAACACATTTTCAGTTGTTCCCCGAAAATGTAAAACAAGGCAATAACTTTCTACACATGGATGAAATAGATAGATAGATACTTTGCTAATCCCCCAAAGGAGAAATGCAGGTGTCCAGCAGCAGAAGACTCATCCAGGTCTGTTGTACAGTCATGTCTAATGTAGATATAAACCAGATCCAAGCAGAAACAGTGCCGATAATACATTAGATGATGTCTTATGTTATGTTTCAAAACACCACAAGAACAACGCAACAAGTGTCACACAGTTTGAATTGCTGCCCATTAGACTTAGTGACTGTGAGCACATAAAAGATTAAATTACATATGAATAATCTCAGCGGAGGTGAAATCATACAAACCTGTGTCGTCCCAGTTATAGTTACTGAACGCTGCAGATGGCTCAGCTCTGATTGGCCCTCACCGTCCTATTCCTCAGTCCAACACACATCTATGACCTTTACATGAAAATGAGTATGAAAATGACTAGTGCGGCACCTTTCTGTTTACAACTCCACCTGCTCCGAGAACCATAAACGCTTCATTATGATCTTTACGACGGCATTACCATGTGAGAGAGCCGATGGAGGACTCATAACACAACGCTTTCACGCGATCAGCAATACTTCAACCATTTCTGTTTTTGTTCAAACAGAGAGAATGTAATACTCACTTAATGACCAATTAGACAATATTTATGGAAGTCATTTGCCTGGTTTGGGTCTTGTTGTCTGCCTGGTGGCGGCCGCACAGAGGTCAGACGGTCCAGAGACGTTGTCAGATTTTAATTGCTGGTGTGGGCCTTCAAACGTGAAGAGAAACGCTGACATCAGGACAATACCTTTTAACCTTGTCAATGTTTGGAGACGCACTCTGAATGTATCCACAGGACTCACCTTATCCATACAAAGTGATGCTACAATGGATAAGATCAACCAAAGATAAACATTTACATTATTCTGGCTTTGTCTGATTGTTCTTCCCCGTACAATAGTTATTTATATATTTTATTGACCTTCACATGAGCACTGAGGTCCCGCTGTGATTTCAGAATCTCTTTTTCAGGAGATTCCAGGACCCAGAGAGAGGACAGGAGTGGGGGAGGGTGTTACAGAGGTCTATTGTACATGGTTATAGTGCGATAGGGACACTGGAGCGGACACAGGGAGAACATGCAAAGTCCACCCAGGAAGGCTCTGCTCCGACCAGAATCCAAGCCCAGTTCTCCAATAGTAT